TGGGAGTCCCCCAGTCTCTATGTAGATAAAAGTTTGGTCATAATTTTTACCATCAAATCTAAATAAACTAGAGTTGTCTGGGAAAGGGGGACCTCAGTTAAGCGGTTGTCTCAGCTTGGCCTGTCAGCAGCATATCTGTGGGACATTTTCATATTGCTACTTGATATAGGAGGGCACAGTCTACTGTGGGCAGCACCATCCCCGACCAAGAGCGTCTGGGCAGTATGGGAAAACTAGCTAAGCTGAGTAGAGAGCTACATGCTTTTTAATCCCAGCACTGGGGAGGCAGCGAGGTAGATCTCTATGAGTTCAAGGCCATACTTGTCTAAGTAGTGAGTTACAGGTTAATCTGAATAAACAAAAATGAAAGAAAGCCAGCAAGCCAGCAAGTAATGTTCTTCTGTGTTTTCTGTTGAGTTCCTGCTCTGACTTCCCTCAGTGATGGGCTATAGTCTGGAAGTATAAGCTAGATAAACCCTTTTCTCTCCCAAGTTGCTTTTGGCCAGTCTTTTTCATCACAGCAGCAGAATGCAACTAGGAAAGCTAGCAGAAGGCAGAGTGGTGCTCCTGACCCAGTGCTGGCTAAACTGCCTACCGAGTGAGGCCCCTGATGCCTGCCCCTATCCTGCAGGTCCTCCATCATGAGCTGCTGGCCATCCGAGAGGCCTGTATCAAGCTGGAGAAGGACTATCAGCCAGGGATCACATTCATCGTAGTGCAGAAGCGCCACCATACACGCCTCTTCTGTACAGACAAGAATGAGCGGGTGAGTAACAGCTCTGTGGCTGCCACAATCTGGGGAGACTGTTCTGAGAGACAGGAAGGACTTCATGAGGACCCAGGCTCTGCTGTCTAGCGAGACACCCCTCCCCACCCCACCCCCCCACGCCCGCTTTGGTGAGGAAGATCCAGGCATGAAATATCATTTATCTGATAAATGAAATAGAGGTATTTCAGAAACAACCTGTCAGAACTCATGGCAGTTCTAGTGATAAACCCAGGGATTAAGCCATCTTTCAAGACCCAGAAAAGTGTTTTCTGTGCTTCTAACTGTACAATGAGGCTCACAACTGTGTATAGGGCAGCTGCCTAAGAAAGGGGTTACCCAGAAGGGCAGGACTTCAGGGTGTCTACCAGACCCTGAAGCCAGCATGATGGTCATTGCAGTTCAGCTCTGCCCCATGACCTCTAAGGTGGCCTGCTATTTGTTTACAAATGTTGTGGGGAGACTGAGGTATGACATGAAAGGAACCACTTACCAGTAAAATACTGTAGCTATGGTCTCCAGTGCTATGTCCAAAATGACATAAAGGAAAAAAGACCCAACAAAAGCTTATAGAACTTGGAAGGGAAATTGACACGTACAGTGTCACAGTTGAGTGTTGTAACACACACACCTCTGTCAGAACTAGAACAGGCAAGAATGAGTGGAAGCAGGGAACGGGGATGGTGAGAAGAGCAGCAGGTGGCAGTTTCACATGGGAAGAAAAAGTCTCGGGTGGTTTCCAGACCTTGATCTTGTAGAAACCATATGTTTTGATCATTACGCAAATGTAGTTTAAGAATGCTTGACGCTTTCACTTCGCTGCCCGTAGCTCATGCATTAAAGATAGAACAAACAGAAACTAGAGCACTCACAGCTGAACAAAACCAAATTGCTTCCTATCAAATCAGCTCAGCTTGAAGACTTGAGTGCATTTACTATAAAATGAGAAATGGCCCTGTGGACCATGAAGGAAAGCTGTGGATCCTGTCACTGGTGTCCCCTTGTAGTCCCGTGTCTCTCTTGCCAGAGGTATTAGGGCCTAGTGGCCCTAATTCTCTCTCCAGAATGGGCAACAGTAAGAAAGTAATGAGAATGCTCGGAAGGGAAAGGATCCCCTCCAGGGTAGCAGAAGAGACTGTCGATGTCAACTGCTACAGATAGTGACACTTAGCCAATGTATTTTGAAAAGTGTCACAGATGCTTATGGGGTTATGTGTATTTACAAAGTCATCTCAGGAGCTAAACCCAAAAATTCTTTTTTAAACGTCACCCATGCCAGAATCCTTAGGGCCCTGAAAGCTTTATAGGCAGGGTTCCCACACAGAGCTTCAAAATGTGGCTGAGAACAGTAAAGGAGTAATAGCAAACAGACTTTAAAAACAGCAAGAAAGGCTTGTTCACTTTTACAAAGGAGAAGCGGGGGTGGGGGGGGTGGGGTGCAGCTGTGGTACTAAGTTTGGACAGACATGGGCACGTGACTAAGATCCAGGACAGAGGGTCAAAGTCAGACCTGCATGTCCACTCCCCAACTCCTGGACCATGAGTTGTTATGTCTCTGTTTTTCTGGCCTGCCTACAAGGATAAGGCTGTTGAGAGGACTGACCAAAACACATGGCACCAGTCCCTGATGTGTTGTTCATGAGGATATGCCCATGCTAGTGATGGGAGTACAGATCCATAACAGCTTGGAACACAGTTCTGACAGTTTCTGTGTCCCTCCAAGCCAAAACAAGAAATTACTGAGTGTTCAAGGAATTTGTGGACAGAAATTGTTTAACTGAGCATAGTGACACATGCCCTGTCAACCCAGCTCAGGAGGCTGAAGTAGGAGCGTTGCCTTGAGTTGAGTCCAGTCTACAATATTCAGTGAGTTCTAGTCCAGCCTGAGCTCCAACGTGAGACCCTGTCTATAGATAAACATAAACAATGGAGGGATTTTATGTCATTATTGCTTGTGCTAGCAAGAAAGGTACAAAGTAACCACCACACCCAGCGGGGAGTCTGCATGTTTTGTATGTGTAATTGAAACATTTTAAGTTGGTTACGATGGTGTACAATGCGATTCCAGCGCTTGGGAGGTGGGGGTGGGGACATCAGGAGTTGGCTGCATTCTTAGCCACATCATTTTATTGGAGCCTGTTCAATTCAGATCCTTCAGGAGACAGATTGCTTGATGGTAGTATCTGGATGCAGTGTGACCAATAACCCCAGCCCAATTTAAGTTCTGTCCACCATCCTGCCACAGCTGATGGTCTCTGTTGCTGCAGGTTGGGAAGAGTGGGAACATTCCAGCAGGTACAACCGTAGACACGAAAATCACTCATCCAACTGAGTTTGACTTCTACCTGTGCAGTCATGCCGGCATCCAGGTATGGGAGGCTCTGGGATGTTTGTGATGTCATACATTTGGGGTGTGTTGTGAGTGTGGCTGTGGGGCTCCAGGTCATGCTGTGGCCAGGAGAGGTGGGCTCTTGACCAGGTACCGGAAAACTGTTTCTGGGTCAGACACTGGGAAAGAAGTAGTAGGAAGGGACCAGTGTGGAAGTGGGTGTAGCAAGACCAAGGTAGAAGGAAGAGTGATGGTGAAGGCCAAGGGATTCAAAGTGTGTTGTTTGGCAGCTCGTGAGCTAGAGGAAGCTGCTTTGGTTGGGGCCTAGAGTGGCTCGTGTTCAGCTGCATGCTGGCTACCAATAAAATGCCAGGACAAGAGCAGTACTGAAATGCTCTGTGGCTTCTCTGGAAGACAGCATTCTGCTGTCTTCCTGATACTAGAGTAAGGTCTTTGAAGACTGGCTAGTAGCAAATGGACAGGGAGGAGCCACCACTCTTCCTGCTAGGTGAGTGCCACTCTTCCTTACAGGAAACTTTGGAGGGAAAAGCGCCATCAAATACTCTAATTCCCACTTTTTAAATGTTAATATGTAGCTTTGATGGGAGTTTTTTTTTTTTTTCTTGGTATAATAAATAAAACATTGTAGAAATATATCCAGAGGGCATTCATTGTTTTTCACTCAGCCCCTTAAGAAATGTTATCTTTTCTTGCTACATCAGATGCATAATTATGGGATGTGGGGTGGGGTACAGTGTGATGTCTTAGCACAGCTGTGCGGCCTATGATGGTGGAACACCCTGCCCCCATCAGTCACCTCAGACCTCCATTGGTTCTCTGTGTTAGAGACACTGAAAGTCTTCTCTGCTAGCTGTTCTTGAGTCATGGCCATATGTAATAGTACTCTGTGAGATGGGCATAGTGATGTTTGCCTGTAATGCCAGTACCCAAGAAACTGAGACAGGAGGACTGAGTTGCAGGTCAGCCTAGACTAATGCTGCAAGACCAGGGGTGGAGGGAGGGATGTCTTAGCTGTGATTTTCCTGTATGTGAATAAACAAATGTATAATCTATTTTATAGATATAGATCTTTTAAAAGTAGATGGGTCTGAGGGTTAAAGACAGGGTGCTTCTATTTTACCAGGGATGGCCTCAAATTTGAGTCCTCCTTCTCCAGCCTCCTGGGAGCTGGGCTCAGAGACATGTGCCAGCATGCCCGTCTTAACAGGAATAATAATTGTTGTTGTTCTTGGTAAAGGTCTTGTGGTTATTCTTTCAGGGGACAAGCCGTCCTTCTCACTACCACGTGCTTTGGGATGACAATCGCTTCTCTTCTGATGAGCTGCAGATTCTGACCTACCAGCTGTGTCACACCTATGTGCGCTGCACGCGCTCTGTGTCCATACCTGCCCCAGCCTACTATGCTCACCTGGTGGCCTTCCGCGCCAGGTACCATCTGGTGGATAAAGAGCATGACAGGTAAATATCACACCTGAAATGGGTTTGAGACAAGGCTGCTTTCTTGTAGGCAGAGATGAAGGCTTTCCATAGAGGAAAGTAGCAATCCCCTTGGCCACTTGTCAACAGTGTGACCATAGCATGTTGCTTTTTATACATGTGTCTGGTTCCTGTTCCTGGGTTGGTGTTCAATAAAGGCTGCATTCTTTCTCTTCCTCTACAGTGCTGAAGGAAGCCATACCTCTGGGCAGAGCAATGGGCGAGATCACCAAGCACTGGCCAAAGCGGTCCAGGTCCACCAGGACACACTGCGCACCATGTACTTTGCTTGACATGTTGTAGTGTTTAGCGATTGTGTATCAAGTTGGATTCACACGAGACCAGCTACACTCAGACCAACAGATGCCCAGCCCTTCTGTGACAGCCAGCATCGAACATGAGATGTCTTTGGTTTTATTAGATCCTCCATTTTCCAGAATGCCTTCCGTCCCAGATTTCAAACTTGGATTTTGAGCTGCAGGCCTGTATGAGACCCCATTGTAGGAATCGTGGTTTGCCAAAACTTATAAGCTGCTCACTGAAAGAGTCCCCTGTTTCCTAAAAACAAAACAACAACAAAATGTCCTAAAGCAAGTCTATGAACTCTCAGGGCTTTAAAACATTTTTAATTTATTTGGTCATTCAATTTACTCATTTTTAACACCTGATTCTCAATGAAATCGATGGGCTGTGACGGCTCTGAGCATGAGAGCAACACAACACCATCGCCACTGGGGTTTTAAAGCCTGACCCTAAGAAGTTGTCACTAATGTTCAGTTCTAAGGGATGCCACGTGCTCTGCAGCCCCAGGGCAAATGGCTGCTAGGTATCCATGGTGTCTCTCACCTGCCACTGCCTGCCCTTGAGGCCAAATGAAGGCATAGTGGCAGCAGAGAGGATGGTCACGTGTGTTTACAGCAGTGACAGGTCCGAGAGATTGGCAGATAAGTGCCATTTTGATAAAAATTTATTTAAAAGAGAGAAAAAAAGACAATATACTGACAGTCTAATCATAAGATTTGTCCTGTAGGACTGTGACATTTATTTTCCAAAGTTTCTAAAGAATACGGGTCTGTGGTGATAAATACAGTACAATCCTTTTTCACTGTTATGTCTTTAATGTAAGAGAAGAATATATATATCTGGTTTGCAGTATTAATGTGGTAGGTAGATGCTGTTTTCCTTTTGTTGACTATGGGGTGCTCCTCGTGACCTGTTTCACATATCAGGAGCTGTTTGGAGCCTGGAGACAGGCCACCTCTTGTGGCTTTTAGTGTTTAAGTAGCAGAATATGCAACTGGCTTCACATGACAGCGATGCACCCCCCCCCCCTTCCCCAGTGTGAACTGTGTAGCCTGTACCTCTGGGAAGGACAGTGTGCTTGCCAGTAATTTACCGTCCTTCCCTGCCTCATCCATGTGTGTCACTCAGCCAATGAAGCACAAATGGAATTTATTTATTCTTCCATTGCTGGGAAACAAGCTCTCTCGTGTTAAGAGTGCACCTCTTTCGGTGTGCAGTTTTGGAAGGTGGCTTTCATAGGATCTATGCACTGACTCGAGAGAGATCCGCCGGTGGTGGCTCTGCTGGCACAGAACTGACAGGTAGGAATGGGGCATGCCCGAGGAACTGATGGTGGGCAAGGCCAGCAGGGAAGGCACAGAATACTCTGGGTGGTATCTGCTTCTGGGCCTCAACCCAGCTTTGCCAACCTAGAGATCACTGAACTGAGAGGGACACTATGAGAAGAAGTTCTGTAGGTGGCAGCAGCCACTTCAGTGTGTGTGTCCAGTGGGGTTTTTTTGTGCTTGTACTGACGCTGAGTGAGAATCAGGTCCCTGTCCCACATAAAACTTCCTAGAAGGAGACGCGCCTCCGCTTCTGTGCTGCTTTGTGCCCTGTGGGTTTTTCTCTGCCCCTGCTGATGGTCCTTACCCCCCAGTTCTGCGTCATTTACCTCTGACCCTGCGGTGGGGGAGGTGCCCACCCCTGCCCCCCACTGTGGCTGGCACCTCATGCTAGAGGACACAGTGCCACCCCTGCCCCATCAGCCACCTGCTGGGTGGGAGGGGCAGACGCAGTGACCTGGGATGTCATACCCTCAGCGGGCTGTGTATCTGTGTGTGCATGTGGGTGTCTTAATAATGACATTAGTCTCTTCTTGCTGTGTCTTTAAAATTCTTGTAAAGTGACAAACCTCTAGTCTAAGAAGCACTGGGGCATTCTGCTATCCCATTGGCAAGTGGCACTTTCTCAAACTGTTTCCAAAAGGATATAAAAACACTTAGCTCACCAAGCATGGTCAGGCTGAAAAACTCATTCAGCTGGTAAACCTTTAGAATCTGAAATTAGATTGTTTTTAGCTATTCTTGAAACCATATGTCTCAAAGGTCTGTCTTTAGCCCCTTGCCATGGGATCTCAGGCATGCAAGTAAGTGTGTTAGAATATAGATTCTCAGGCCCGCTGCCAGCCTCTTGGATCTGGCACTTGCAGCCAGCTGAGTGTCTGTGTTTTAGGCCACCCCCATCCCCACCCCCATGGCTGTGGAGGCTTTCTGAAGCAGTCCCCCATGTCGCCAAGGGAGCAGGAAGGAACCCTGTCAGAGCTCACACCTAGGAGCACTTGTGGGCTAGGGGAGATAATATGAGCTGGGAGTTTTGTTGGGTTTTTTTTTGTTTGTTTGTTTGTTTTAGTCATCTTAAAGGATAAGTTTTCTTTTTGATGGGCTAAAGGACTTTAGCTGTGGCCTGTGCTTATTTGTGACACTTTGAATATGAAAATTGTCCCCAGACCAAATGTCCTTGATTGAATTCAGATGCATATTGTCCACACAGCCGATGGTAGTTTATAAATGGCTGGAGTTCCAATTTCTCAGGTAAATAACTGTTTCCCCCAATTTTTGCCCTCCCCTTATTATTAGCATAGGTTCTGAGACAGTGTGAGCCCTCAGAGTTCTGTGGGCACTGGCTCTCAGACTACACCTGCACCGACAACTGGCCCTCAGGTGTCTCCTGAGGGGATACCTGGCTAAGGTTGAGGACTGCCCACTTGCTAGCTGTATTCCCAGCCCCACTGTTAAGTAAGGTGTGCCTTGCTTTAAAGCAAACTGAATGTGATTATGTATCCATTTGGAAGGGAAACTAGGATGTGCCTGTCTCTTTAAGAGAGGCTACCCAATCAGACTCTCATGCTGGGACTCTTTCTAGAATGTTGTAAGATACACACTTTTCAAAAACCAGTCATGACTATCCCCTTACCACTGTGTACACCATGCAAAAGCCTCTCCCCATGCTGATGAAGTAATTCAAAACTCTAGGGAGGCCTTGAGGCCCCGGTCTGTAGATGAGCCCTTAGTACTACTAGCAAAACTCCATGCTGTCACTGTGTGTTGCAAGCCCAGATTGTCCTAGTCCCCATCAACCAACCGTAAGCTGAGCACATCTGTGCTTCTAGAAGGGGGCTGTCTGGGGAAGTCCTCACATGCACACTTGATACTACTTGGTCCATTGTGTTTTCTCCAGATTTGGCCTCTTCTCACTCCTCATACCCACTTGCTTACTGGCCTCCAGCCCACAGGGCACTGCCAGTAGGGAGGCCGCTAGTGCCATGCTGTCCTCAGCTGGCCCAACACCTGTTTTCCTGATGTTTACCTGTTACTGAGCGCTCGATAGAAAGACAGCCCCTGCAATGGGGTTGGGCAGGGTTTTTTTTTTTGTTGTTGTTGTTGTTGTATGTTATTTTATTGTTTTTAAATGCAAATGTTGCTATTTATTTTTTCTCTCCTGCTCTAATTTGATTCAGTTGAATTGGCTATCCCAATGCGTGTGGTACCTGATGGATATGATAGAGATTATTTTCCCCAAGTGTTATAACTGACCCAGTGTTTACCTTCAGGCTTGTGGATGCTTTATTTTTGAAGCCACAGATGTAGTTTTTCTGGATGAATTGTTTTTCTTATAGATGGCAGCGGTATGCTTTTGCATTGATCTGCAGGGTGATTTGAATTTTATTTTTACAAGCAGTTTTTCAATCAAATTCTATATTTGATACAATGTGTTAAGGGTAGACCAGCCTCAAGTCATGCAGTTGGGACCCCTGAGTGTCCAGGAGGCCTTAGGGCTAGGTGGCATCTCTTGGTAGTCCCTGTGGTGGTAGCACTGGCTGGTCACAGCCCTTCAGCATGGCCCTGTCCTCTTGGATTGTTACAAGGATTTTTCATGGGCATTTTGCTACACAGGCAGTGGACAATCCCAGTGGCCCCAGACAAGCCATAAGCAACCTTTCTGTGACCTCTCCCTTTCACACCCATGAAGAAAAGAATGTGCCCTGAGTAGACATTACACTCCCTTGGTGTTCCTATGCCTCATTTGTGAATGCAAACATTTTGTTTATGTTCTAAGCCCTTCCCCAAAGTAACCATGCTGGCTGGCTCACCCTGGGCAGTGCACATGTAGCTCTGTCATGGGTGCCCTGTGGCAGGCGTGCTGACCCTGTAAATTGCACTGATCTTGTGACAGTTTTCTTTATCGCATCCAGCAATGAATCTGCTGTACTCATTTAAGTGATTGTAAACAGACTCATAGTGACAGGAGTGATGTGGACGTGCAACATTGCCTTGCTTCTATGATCCCAACACACATTTCAGTATTATATGCTAGAGTGTGCAGACTGGACTCTGTTCCCTCAAGCATTGTGGACTAGCCTTGTCTTGCTTCCCGACAAGAAGTTCTCCACCTCTGAACAGCATGACCTTTGAGACCTGAAGAGAAGGCTTGAATGTAAATGTATTAGTTAGGAGTCTTTGTGGCACCTTTGGTCTGTTTAATTTTCTTGTGATCTGCCAGGCCCCTAAAAGTATGTCATTCTGGTTCCATGTGGCCTTTGTCAACTTGGATGGCATCTGAATGGCCCAGCTAGTGTTAACAGGCCATCACTGCATTTCTTTGACCAGCCCTCAACTTAAAGCTGTGAGGTCACTGCTGTGTCAGACTGTTGATGGTACATCCATGGATGGCAGGGGTACCTGAAACCCAGTGCAGCCCCTCATGCCTTGTGACCCTGCTGGGTTCTAAGTCCATGCTCTGTTCAGTCCCACACAAACTGTCTGTGGTCAGGGTACCCAGTGTCTGAAACAAAGGGAGCTTTTACACTCAAACCGCCTCATGTGTGTCTGTGTGTGTGTGTGTGTGTGTGTGTGTGTGTGTGTTGTCAGTGCCATTACAGTGCCCCCATTTTGTGTCTTTGGATTTGTTCTGCCATTTTATTGTCTCTCAAGTTGAATGTATCGGCTTAGCCAAATCACTACAGGAGGTGGTTTCTAAAAACCTTTCAGACAGATGCATAAAAGCTACCTCTGACTTCTCATTGGTTTGTGTTTGCTCTGAAGCCTCGATATCCACACTGAATATAGCCAAAATATCACCTGAATAAACTGAGTTGTGAACTCTGTTCAGTTCTGGCTTGAAAATGAGTGTGCCATACTGTGATCTGGGGCAGCCTTCTCTGCTGTCAATGACTAGGGGCTCCTCAGCACTGCCCTGCTAGGAGACTCTAACACCTGAGAGGCTGGCAGAAGGACTTCTTTGCATAGGGAACATGCACCCTGCAGGGCCACATGTGGCTGAGCCTGGAGACAGCCCTGTTGCTGCCTGTTTCTGCTTTCCTATTAAATGTAAGAAGTCATCTTTTCCCTTGCTTGCTTACAGATGTGTTGAAAGTGGCTTCCTGCTCTTCCCTCCCTTTTTGTACACTATCAACTCATAAAGGTGCTTCATCACTGACTCTCATGCAAATAATGTATTTAAAGCAGATGCAAGGATTTGGATGGTGCAAGCATAGCCAACCTTTGATCTTGGGACCCTGTGTGAAAGTGAAGGACTGAAAGCACCCCAGGCCCTCTATTTGGAAGGAGTAATGGGTTCTGTTGAGTACAAGTCTCCACTAGTATTGGCAGTGCAGGTCTGACTTACAGGTTTGTCATGGGGACCCACCACCTCTAACCAGCTCTCCTGTGGTTGTCCACTTTGCTATCATCCTCTTACATCATGGCTCTGCCTGCATCCCTTTGGCCTCTCTCTCTTCTTAATTTTGGAAATTAATTTGGGGCTAATTTTGGAAAGTCAGCACAAGCTCCCAGATTCCTCCACTGGTTGGCTTAGGAAATCTTGAGGACAGTTTTACAGTGTCATGAAGGCAGGTGTAGAGGAGTGAAGGAGGGCTCTGCGAGCTCCTCCCATCTAGTTCTAATACATTGTAGAGGGTGTTTGTCATCTCATATACTTTTGACCTGCACAGCTCACTACCCTTAGAAGTCCTCACATGTTTCTATGTGGAGAAGCAGAGGCATGGCATGTGGGTATTTGTGGCACCCCAGGTTATTTGGGTCCTCTGACTTGGCTGAGGGTTTGGTGAGAATGCAGGGTGATGCAGAGGTATGAGCCACAGCCCTCAGAGGACACCGGCACAGAGGCAGCCTTCCCTCTCGTGACTTTTGTGAGGGTAACCAAACAATCCAAAGCCCTGGCCACTGCAGACTTTAGCTAAAACTTTTTTTTTTTTTTTTTTCCCCGAGACAGGGCTTCTCTGAGTAGCTTTTTTGAGCCTATCCTGGCACTCGCTCTAGAGACCAGGTTGGCCTCACAGAGATCCACCTGTCTCTGCCTCCCGAGTGCTGGGATTAAAGGTGTGCACCACCAAAGCCTGGCCTTTTTTTTTAAACTGGTTGCCATGAGAATGCTGGCTATGTAAAGCCTTCCATTACCCTGGTGGTTCTCGTTCTTCTATTCCTGGGGGCTAAATGGCTGAAGGAGCTCCAGTTTTGTTTAGAGCTGGCTTTATTTGAGTTCATTTAAAGCTAAGGCATCAGACAGTACCTTCTTCCCTGCGGGTGTCACCAGGAAGTAGGTGTGGGGACAAGCTCCTTAACATCTGAGGTCACATGAACACCTACACCAGCCATCAGCAGAGAGACATACACATGTGGGGACAGAAGTTCTTGGGAAATCTACAAGTTGTAATGGCCACTAAAGGTTGGGACAGGGCAGGCCCTCCAACCTGTATAGCAAGCAGGTGGCCCTAGCCCTCCTCCAGGCAACTGGCTGTACTGGCTAGATACTGAGTCCCAACCTTGCCCCTTTAAAGTCCGTACCTCAGTGTCCTTTCAGAGTCATGCTGGTACTAGTCTTTTGTTGACCCTACCTAGGAAGTTTGTCGGCCCTTGGCTCCTTCTTGCAAACTGTGATGCCACTCTACAGCCACAGAGATACCCTCAGTCAGTCCCATCCGGGGTTCTTTTGCCCGGACATGCAGGCTCACCTGGCTCACCTCTGCTGGGTTTGAGGAGTCAGGTGCAAGACCATTGGTTAGGTGTTGACTGGCAGAAGCTGCTGGTCTTGTGTTCTTGGCGCCTCATCAAAACTGTCTGTCGTAGTGGAACTAGGTGTAGAGGGAATGAGAATCATGTCCAAAGTGTCTTCTGGACACCCTTGAGTGTGGGGGAGATTAAGACCGGGCGAGGAGTCACTGGGGAACTTCTCAATTCATTTTTGGTTCTTTTTCAATTATTTTATAAAAATAAAACAACTGGAAAAATTGATAGAAACCCCTCAATACATGTTAGGCAGGTAATCGGAAGTATATGGGAGGTCTGGATTCAGGGCTACATTCTCTTCCTGTATTTATGAGGCAGTAGCCACTTTGTTGCACAGAAACTTAGAATTATTCTCTTACAACTCTTTTTATTTTCTGTTAAATAAAAACTCATTTGCCCCTACAGTTATAAAACATGAATTTATAAATTTTAACAGCCACACTGAAATCCTTCTCAAACACGGGACTCAAATTTCAATTTTAGGACTCAGTTTCAATGTGTTTTTATCTAACAACAACAACAACAACAAAAGAGTTGTAAGAGAATAATTCTACGTTTCTGTGCAATGAAGTGGCTACTGAAGAGAATGTAGCCCTGAGTCTAGACCTCCTATACTATATATCCCATATGCTTCAGGTTACCTGCCTAATATGTATTGAGGGGTTTTAACCCTTGGTTTTATCAATTTTCCTAGTTTTGTTTTATTTTTTATAAAGTAATTGAAAAAGAACCAAAAATGAATTCAGAAGTTCCCCAGTGGCTTCTTGTCCAGTCTTAATTCCTCCTCACCACACACACACTCAAGCATATGTAGAAGACATTTTGAATCAAAATGTATTACATCCATTTAACATTTGCTACTTTCTGAGAGGTGGAGTGACTGGCTCCAAGGGCCTGTTTCAGGTGGTACTCTGTATGTCATGGACATGTTTGTACCTGTACAGTGGATCTGTGTGACGTCTTGTGCTTGCGGTTTAGAAACCACGCAGTGCTGTTTGTAAATTGACAGTTTCTGTGTAAACTATTATTTATAACCCTTGGCCCCTCTGTATAATTTTTCATATGCTACATGGATTGTATAATTAATTGTAAAATTATAGTACCTGCTAAACCCAATTCTGAGGCTTCATGTCATTGTCTTCGGTTTGAAACCAGCCTGTGGATTGTGAGGATGCCCAGGCCTTGCGTGATACCAGTAGTGACATCACATTAAATTAAGCCTTAATCAGATTTGCATTTCAGAGTATGCAAAAAATAAAAATAAAAGATAAAGTAGGCAGAGTGAGTTTCAACTGTCCAGATCAAGATGCTCAGTCCTAATTCAACATGCGTCCCCTCTGGAGCTAAAAAGGGCCGTTGCCAGGGTTACACTTCTCCGTGCTCTCCTACATAGCTTGATGAAAACTGATCACGTGCATCTCTGTGGCAGTCTGTCTAAGACCTTTGCAGGGTCATCTTCAGTCATCTGATTGCTCTCCTCCAGTCTGTGATGAGCCTTGGCTGCTGGGAACATGATTGAGGTGTAGGTTTTAACAACCTTACTCATAGGTTAAACTCTCTGCTGGTACTACCACCTGTCATTGCTTCTGCATAGATTACAACAGATTTTTGTTTCTGTAAAAGCATCTTCAAAATCTTGAGATCAGAAAGAGGGGACCCAGCTTTCTTTACAATGTGGATCTACCTCAGTTAAACAGTTGGGTGCTATTTACTAAGTCTGTCAAATTAAATTGGAAAAAGTAACCAAACAGTGGGATGTAACTAACTCCACATGAAACTTGAAATAATCATTTCCGTTTATTTAATGATATTTTTAATTTATTTTGTGCCTTTAAGTTACCCCAAATGCATTTTTGAAATTCTCTTGCAAGTGGGGAGCCTGACTGACCATGCAAGTATCCCATCCAACTGCTATCGTTACTGGGACCCCGGCCTACCCTCTTGAGAAAAGGAGGGGGAAATGTGTCCAAGAGCAAATTTTACATATAACAACATTCTACGCATAACATACCCCAGCTCTTCTATGCATGTGTTCATAGCTATCACTTCATTTCTGTGCCATCGAAGGGGCACGCCCCCCCCCAAAAAAATACCCCTTGTTAGCTGTCCAGTTTTCCTTTTCCTCTGACATGTTTTGGATACGACTTTCTTTCATAAACAGCAAATGGACTGTTGTGGATTCCATCTCCTGATTTGCATGGTGAAAGTGCTAACACCATGGGCAGAGGAGGGGCAAGCTCACGGCTGTCTGGAGGCCAGGCTGGAGGTGGGGAGATGTGCAGTCTGCGCAGCCCATGGTTCCTGAAATCAGGAATACTTTTGGATGGGTAAGAAGATCAGAGATCGATGACTTTCCACACTTTTATATTTGGCAGTTTACAATTCTAGACTTTTCCTACTATGGCAATCTTTTTTAACAATTCTTTGGAAGTGACACGATATTTTGGAGTCTTATGAATTTCATTTTATACCAATAAGAAATAAAGTTAGGCATCTTCCCTGTAGAGTATATGTATAGTCTTACTCTTTTAAAGCGATCTCTAGGTTTTAGAAGAGAACCAACTGTACTGGGCAAGACTGCGACGCCCACCCCCCCCCCCCCCCCCCCCCCCCCCCCGCCCCGCTTTTTCTCTGCCCCTACTCTTCCCCTTTGCAGGACCTCAAAAAAGGAAAACAAGAAAAAGAGAGGTGATTCTAGTTAGACGTGTGTGGGGTTTCTTTTTATTGTGTTTTGTTTTGTTTTGTTTCTTAAGCTTCCATCAGGTGGTTGATACTTAAGCTATATTTTATAGAATAAATCCCCTTTTAGTATGCTGCATATAGATATGAAGCTCAGAGCTGTTGCACTTTCTCTGTAATCAATGCCCTACAATTGGCTTGCCGGAAGCATTTTATTTTAACCTAACGAGTACTTTGGGCAGGTGATGAAATTTACATAGGTACCTCAAGTCAAGACCTGCGTGTGCTGCATTTTGGTTTGTTGATTTGGGTTTGGGGTGGGGGGTTGTTTGTGTTTTGTTTTGTTTTACCTTTTCTATGTAGCATTGTATTTTCGTTTTGTTCAGATATTATGCTTTTTGGACCCCAATAGTCTGTTGAAAGGAAAACTTAAAAAGTTAGTATCCTTCTTCTTGCTCCCTGCAGTATGTGGTTCTAAAGGTCACCCTACTTTAGGAATCTTTCCCCAAGCACACCTGAGTAAAGGGGTACTACACTTCTCAGAAGGCCGTGCCACTTAAATCCTTTGTGTTCATGCTGCTTCATTTCCTTCTCCACATTAGCCAAGGGTAGGTACCTCCAGTTCCAAGTTGTGGAATCTTAACTTTCACACACAGACCTCATGGGTGTTCGTTGACTCAGTAGCATGACTCTAAAGGCACTGCCAGCGTGCAGCCTCTGGGAGCCTGGCCTTGGAGCGGCAGCCTTCGTGTCTCTCTCAGCACTCACCCACAATGACCTGGTCAGGTGGTCTGCATGGACAAGACAGCTGGTGAGGGAAGCTGAATGCTGAGACACTGCGCATCTCTTGTCGTGTTTAAGCTTAGCTGGGTCCTTTTACATTTGTTTTCACAGCTTACTAGGTTAAATAGTTTGCACTATTTTTGCAATAAATTCATGGGAAACCTAACAGCTACTTATGTTGTTCTTACTGTGTGTGTAAACTAATACTAAAAGTTTGGTATAGTGTTTTTTTTTTCCACCTCCTTATGTAGCCCTCTAACATGCACAGAATGCTGTAAATCTGATAAAATATGATGTGAATGATATTTTATAAAGTTATTTTGTATGGTGTCAATTTTGTTTTGCCGCATAGTATGTCAGCAAAAAATAAATAAAGTTCCTCATATTTACAGCTGCCTATTCCAAAGGTGTCTAGTTACTGTCTCCCTTGAGAGCACTGTCAAATACACTGGCTGAGTCCAGCGTCGCCGGTTCACCTTCCCAAAGGGGTCTGGGTCCTGTTCTGCAGAGCTCCACACCACCCAAGGATCTGGTGTGGAGCATCACAGGTAGAACAGTGTGGTGTGAGAGAGCTGCTGTCCCACCCCAACAGCACAGAGAGGACGGGCAGAGGCCATTCAGTTGAGGCCTTCACGAGCAAGGCCCTGAGCTCCAGGCATGTGAGAACGGAGTCCTGATTTTTTTCCATTCTTGAAGCTAGCTCTGTTGCTCTGAGTGGTGTAAACATGGTGGTGCTCTCGAGTCCCAGGAGGCCTATCCAGCCTCATTTGACCTGTATCTGTGTGAAAGTTCAGGTAGTGTTGGGAAAGGGGGTGGTGGTGGTGATGGGGTGTCGAGAAAGCTCAGGCACCCGAAAGTCCCTGAATGAACTGAACATTTGCTATGGCAGACCAAGTTCTGTCTTACTTGTGACCACAGCAGCAACAGGTAAATGACTCAATGTTCTCTTTGTTTGTGCAACTGGGATAGTGGGCAACTCAGTGATTGCCATGGTAACATGGGGATGGAGATGCTGGCAAGAGATTTTTCAGAGGGTACTAGAACTGCTCTTAATGGTGATCACATGATTGTATGTGACAAATCTGTGCACCAAAAAGTGGACTTTTAAGTGGCTTATTGGAAATCACCTTAAAAAGCAAATGTGTCAGCTATGGCAGAGACAGTCTTACAGTCTTTAATCCCAGCACACAGGCAGGTGAGGAGACCTCTGAATGCAGGGCCAGCTCAGATGGCCTACCCAAAAGGCCAGCTAGGGCTATATAGTGAGAATGAAGGATGGGATGAAAAAGAAAAGTGATCATTAGCTTGTAGAGGACACAGGTAGCATGGGAATGTTGTGGGTGTTTTGTGTATTGATAGTGAGCAGAACTGGTATGCCCTTATAATCCCCACCATTTGGGAGGCTGAGGCAGGATTACAAGTCCACCCAGTGTTGGTGGTGCACACCTTTAATCCCAGCACTCGGGAGGCAGAGGCAGGTGGATCTTTGTGAGTTCGAGGCCAGCCTGGTCTCCAGAGCGAGTGCCAGGATAGTCTCCAAAGCTACACAGAGAAACCCTGTCTTGCAAAACCAAAAAAAAAAAAAAAAAAAAAAAACGCCCAAAAAACAAACAAACAAAAAAGTACCAGTCCAGCCTTGGCTACGTTCAACAAGGATATCAAACAAACAAACAAAAAAATGTTTTTATCAAACTTTATAAACCACAAGATGGTTTTACTAGATATAAGTGACAACAGAAAAATGAGAACCATCCCCAGTGTCCAGCTTGCTTAAAGCATTTACATAGAAGATTGTGTCTTAAAATGCATGTGACCGATGTGCTGGGGCTCTCTTAGAATAGGAAAGCTACTTAACATGTTGTTGCTGTTTGTTTTGGTGCCTGCAGTCCGGCCTTGTGCCTGCTAAGCGAGCACTCTGTCTGGCTCATATCTACAGCCAGAAATGCTAACTCTGAAATTTCACAAAATTATCAGTAAGATGTTAGAAAAACCAAAGATCCTAATACCACTTCAATAAAGCATGTTACTGTAAAATATAAACCTTTAATGGAAAAGGAAAAGCAAATTTTCTGTACAGTAAAAATGCATAGTCCATTTTTTTTAAAAAATACAAAAAATTCAAAGGTAGCACAATGTACATGAGCTACACATGTAGCCATTTGTGAAAAAAGAATGTCCCTGTGACTAGACAGCTGACATAGAGCTTTCCAGGTCTTCCTGCAAGTTCAACATGAAGCTCAGTAGTGTGTGCTGCTGTACTCAGAGCCACAACAGTGCCATCTGCCCAGGGCTCCCCTGGTAGACAGCTGGAGGGTCTGTGTGGGAGGCTGCTCCAGTCCTTTCCACTGCAAGAGGGAATGCAACAAGCTGCAAGGCTGAGACATGGCACTACACTACTGCAGTGCCCACCACTGCCCAGCTGTGAGTCTATTCTTGCACCTGCTCACCAGGCTGAGACCACTCCTTGCTGGCTTAAGCCAGAACTTCACCAATGTCACTTTCACCATCGTCATCTTCTTCCTCTTCTTCCTCCCTCTTCTCTTTGAGCATTTTCAGGTACTTACTAGCTAAAATCTTCTTTGGTAATATATCTTTAAAAACAGGAAACTTATGTCAATAATCACTTATAGTGAACTACGAATACAACAATGCAAGTTTCAAAACATACTAGTTCCCACTTTAACCCTAGAATATCTTCTAAAAGAGATGAAATCCATGTACACTTCTGGGTGAAGAATCGAAGAAACTGGGATTGTTTCATGGTGCACACTTACAAACCTGATGCCATTCCACAGCTGGTAACCATGTTTCTCTGACCTGATTTTGTGAACAACCCTGTCCAAGCTAGCTGAGGAAGGTTAGGCTTTCCAAACCCCTCCCTAGGCCAGACTGAAACTCTTTCTAGCCAAGGCCTGATCCATTTTTTAACCAGAATGTACATGTACCAGCTACTCTGTTGGGGTGCAGGGGGAACAGGACAAGTATACAGCTCTGAGTGAGTCTGCTAGCCAGCCATGCATCCTGTGTATATTGTCAACTTCTACAATTCTTCATGGGCTCAAATAGAGAAGGCTAGAACACTTCCCTGTGCCAGGTCCGGGTAAACTGAGGCATCACACAGAAAAATAAAGGAACAAAGAGCCGCTACAAGTTTTTTGTTTTGTTTTGTTTTTTAACCAGAATGTCCCAAAGATTAAGTACCTGAGAGAAACTGAAGGGTCTCTGAGTCCTCTGCAGTGCTGGCTAAGTCACTGTATGTCAGTGCTTTCTTGGTTTTGCCACTGCCGTGTCTGTAGGAACAGGTGGCTAGATACTGAACAAAGAGTTCCTAAACCAACAGTAAAACAAAACAAACAAACAAAAAAAAAAAAACAGATGAAAGGTCAGGTTGGAAAACTCATCACAGATTTTGTAAGCTTAAAAGTCCATTAATACTTCTGATTGGTTCCTCAAATTATAAGACATCAGTTTATATGAGGAAGAAGCATGCCTGTGTAGAGCAGGAGGCAGCAGGCATTTTCCAGCTGAGCTTAGGTGTGTAACATGGAAAATATTTACAACGATTATAATGACTTTGGTTTCAGGGAAGAGCTGTGCTGCACACTTATCATACCAGCACTCCACAGGTGGAGGAAGCAAGAGGCACAGGAAACCAAGGGCAACTGTGGCTACATAGCAAGTTTGAGGCAAGTCTGAGCTACATGAGATGCTATCTGGAAACAGTGATGAAGTAGGGTGGAGTGTCACCAGCCTTTACAATAAATGGAACAATCATCTACAGTATCTAAATAAATAAATAAACACCTAAAAATGGAACAAAAAACTATTCAAAAATTCTATCTGGACTGCCAAGGACTTTACAGTTTACTGAGACAAGGTATTACTCTGTAATCCAGGCTACCCTTGAATTCCTGGAGATGCTCCTGCCTCAGTCTCCCAAGTGCCTGGATTACAGATGTGAGCTGCCATGTGTCTGTTTCTCCGAAACACATTTTCAGTGTACATGAGTCTCTTGTCCCAAGGTTGTTCACTCATAACTACAGTACTACAGTAAATACCAACCACCTCTGGCAAGATCCGAGGGGTCAGAAATATGGTAAATTGAACCTTTCCCAAGGTCCAGTATTAGTTCAGCTAATAAGTAATGAGAGACGTGTGTGTATAGTTCTTAGATCCTTAATGCTAGAATGAATCTGAACAGAAAACCTGAGTCCCAGGACCACACATAAACAATTATTTCCCCATGATCTTTAACCCCAGCACTCAGGAGGCAGTTTGAGACCAGTCTGGTCTACAAGAGTTAAGTTCCAGGACAGCTTCCACAGCCACAGAGAAACCCTGTCTGAAAACACACACACACACACACACACACACACACACACACACACACACACGAAAGAAATAGGAATGTGTGCAGACTGCTTGTAAATAGTATATCACTATCAAAAAGGAGGACACTGGGAACTACTGTATTTTGTCAGACTCTACTACTTAATGTTGGCTCTGTTGCAAAGTCACAACATTCGCACCTCCCTTGGCCCTAGTGCGTAATATTGTAAAAGTACTAACATTGAAATAGACGAAGAAGCTGAAAACAACCTTAGAGGCAGTTTCCAAGGCCGCTTCTCCTAACAGGAAGGTTCCGGACCACCACTATCAAGACCAAACTTTAAACCAGGAACGGTGGTTAAGAATTTTTAAACCCAGCACTCAGAATGGTGAGGCCAAAACCAAGTGAGCAGGGCTTGGTGGCACCAGGGGCAAGTGGATCTCTTTCGAGTTTGAGGTAATCCCGGTCTACAGAGTGCCAGCATGGGGAAACATATAGAGACCCGTCTCAAAACACAAAATGAATAAAAACACAAAGCGATCTGTGTTGTTTTGGGAGGGGGGCTGTGTGGTTGGTTATAAACTTGTCCCTGGAATCCAACTTGTGACCAATTGTTGCCTGCATAGACCTGACGATCTGCAGAGGCCTGAAGGCTGGAGATCCCTAGATACCCAGACAGGATATACCCTGGAAGCTTCGAGACACCACCCCCTCCCGCGCGCATCGCCCCGCGGGAGGCCAGCGACAGAAACCGAGGGCCGCACGCGCAGTGGAGACCCGCATCAACTCCCAGGGAATGACGCGGTGGGCAGGGCGCAAGGAACGCTGGGAGAGGAGTGAGCTCGCAGGGCGGAAGCAGCCCAGAGGACAAGCGGCGCGGGTGGGCGGGGCTGAGACCACGGGGAGGGGGGATACGGAGCGCGCAGGCGCAGGAGAAGAGGCTGGGGCGCGCGGCCCCCGCAGGGCAGCCGAAAGGCTGGGCGTGTGCGGAGCCCGAGGGGCGGTTAGTGCCCGCACCCGCCCTCACGTCGCCCCGCCGGCCGCTCACCGTGGCCTTGGCCGTGAGCACCAGCGCCTCCTGGTTGATGCTGGACACCTCAGGAGAGCTCTTCATGATGACTCGGATGCGGGACAGGGGCAGCGACACGAGCCGCTGTTCCCCGCACTTGTCCTTACCCACGGCCGCATCCGCCATCTTCTGTGTCCCGGCGGCCCGTGATGCCCCGCGCGTTCGCGCCTGCGCAGACGCCGTGTCGCGCGGTGGCCCGAAAGCTTGGGTGACGGCACCCAGGAAGATCCCCTCGGAAACGCCAACGCCGCGGCTGGCGACCGGAAGAAGCTCTTGCTTGCAGGCTTCCTAGTGCGTTCGGGAATCCCCGAGCTGCACCGACCCGTCCTGTCAAAAGCTAAAGAAAGAGAAATGTGTTATGACGCCTCGTTCTAGAGGTGGCCAGCAAGCAAGCATGTGCCACACTCGGGTAATCAGATGAACGGTGTGACCGGAAAAGAGAGAAAGAAGCAACGTTTGGCCAGGGAAGTAGGGAGGAGAAGCAGCCTCTGCCCTTGCCCTAGGGCCCATGGGGATTAGCCTGTTAAAGAGGCGGGTGAGATGGCCCTTGAGTCTCCTGTAATTCCACCACAAAGCCTAGAGGATCAGCAAGGGTTCAAGGCCAATCAAAGCACACAAGACCTAGCCGGGCGTTGGTGGCACACGCCTGTAATCCTAGCACTGGAGAAGCAAAGGCAGGCGGATCTCTGGTGAGTTCAAGGTCAGCCTGGTCTACAGAGCCAGTTCCAGGACAGCCAGGAAGACACAGAGAAACCCTGACTCGAAAAACAAAACAAAACAAAGCACACAAGATCTCGTTGAAGGAGATGAATCATATCTGAAGGAGTAGGAAGCAGATTAGGTAGAATGAAGACTGTTCAGAAACATACAAGCAAGTGGTGGTCCGTAGAGCAATAGCAGGAAGTCGGGGTCCAAAGGTGGAACCATGAGACCATGGACTTCCGCCAAGATGAGTTGTAAAGTTGGGAAAGTTGATGTGGCCTGAATAGGACAAAACTTGTAAATTGGCACCAAATTTAATTGGAGGAACTAAATTGCCAGGGATTTTTGTTTTTGTTTGTTTGGTTTGGTTTGGTTTTGGTTTTTCGAGACAGGGTTTCTCGGTGTTGCTTTGGAGGTTGTCCTGGAACTGGCTCTGTAGACTTCGAACTCACAGAGATCCTCCCGCCTCTGCCTCCTGAGTACTGGGACTAAAGGTGTGCACCATCAATGCCCAGCTAACCGGCAGGGTTTTGTAGCTTGGATCATGTTAGGTTTCAGTGTTGTCTATCATAGATCAAATAAGTACAGTATAGAGCTGTCCCTCAGTCTCTTTTGGGGAACTGGTTCTAAGATCCCCACGTATACTGAAATTTCACATGTTTAATTCTTTTTTCTTTCTTTTTCTTTTTTTTTTTTTTTTTGGTTTTTTGAGACAGGGTTTCTCTATGTGGTTTTGGAGCCTTTCCTGGCACTCGCTCTGGAGACCAGGCTAGCCTCGAACTCACAGAGATCCGCCTGCCTCTGCCTCCCGAGTGCTGGGATTAAAGGCGTGCACCACCAACGACCGGCTGTTTAATTCTTTTTTTTCTTTCTCTGTGGCTTTGGAGGCTGTCCTGGAACTAGCTCTTGTAGACCAGGCTGGTCTCGAACTCACAGAGATCCGCCTGCCTCTGCCTCACGAGTGCTGGGATTAAAGGCGTGTGCCGCCACCACCCGGCAGCAAGGGGGATTTTTTTTTCCCCTTGAATACCTTGTATTCCAGGTTGGTTGAAGTCCATAGATATAGAACTTAGTGTTCCAGTGATAGTGTCAGGCACAAGGGTACAGTCAGTGAGCAAGTTAGCCATGTTGCCTGCTGGCAACAAGATTACTTTCAGATCCAGATGTACTGGAAAAAAATACCATTTTTAATGGGAAGTGGCATGCCTGTGTGGTAGGTTGGCCTCTGAGAAGTGATATTTGTGCTCAGATCTGAAGAAAAGGAAAGCTATACAAGAAGGCTCAGCAGACAGGATAAGTATTGTCTGTTATATGCTTCCTCTCACACAGTGAAGTACACAAGCATAAGGAATAGTTTAGGAACTTGGGATGTCACTTGACTTGAGCTGTGCATGCACTCCAAACAATGCAGCTAACAGCCTAGGACACTTACCACACCCCTCCCTTTTAGTATTCAGGCATCTGTACTGGCCTGTCCTTGGGGTTCTGACAGGATATGCTCTCAGCTGCAGCCACTAAGAGCACCACCTGTGCACATTCACTGTGTTCCCTTTTAAAAGGGCCCTGCCCACTTCCCATCCTCCTTGCTGTCTCTGGATCTCACTTATCTGTCTGTTCCTCCCTCCCCCTCCCTTTCCCGTCCTCTCCCCTCCTCCCCTCCCCCCGTCCTGCCCCCAGAGGCCAGTCTCCCCACCCTACCCTTACCACTTTTTATGATACCTTTCCACACAAAACAAAACAAAACCCTCTGTCCCTGTTGATTGGCATCTTTCTCTTGCACTGCTTTTCGTAAATTACAACACCCCCCATCATGCAACACACACACACATAGGAATGTGAACACACTCTGAACAAAAGAATAAGTTTTTCCTTCACTTAATTGGAATCAAACTTACATTATATTTGGTTGTATTCTAGTAATGAAAAGAGAGGAAACTGTCCTTAAAATGAACTTTTAGGAAAACTCCATTTACCATCTTTTGCCTATGTATAATTGGGTGTGCATGTAGTTAAAATCACACATTATGGGGAAATGTACAGTAGAAAAGAGGTTCTGCCTGGCGGTGGTGACGAAAGCCTTTAATCCCAGCACTCAGGAGGCAGAGGCAGGCTGATCTCTGTGAGTTCGAGACCAGCCTGGTCTACAAAAGCTAGTTCTATGACAGCCTCCAAAGCCACAGAGAAACCCTGCCTCGGCAACCACCCCCCAAAAAAAGAGGTTGTAATATAGTCTGTCAAAAAGTGAACCACCCAAACTACACCTCTTAGTGTTAGACCCCCGGAAAACTCAGGCCTCCGGGGTCCCAGCCCAGGACCGAGGTCACCCCAATCACCAGGCGGATTCGAGAGCTTGCTGCAAACTGAATGAGGCTTTATTGTTGTTTAACAAGCTAATCCCATGTTAGCTCGGGTCTTTCACCCACCTGCCATGACTTGGGTCTTTCACCCGCCCGCCATGACGGATGGCTAGCAAAGACAGCTCGTAGGGGCTGCATAGAGATCTTGTAGGGCAGCGTAAGGGGAGTGTCTAGGGGTACGCACAGGCTCAGGATTGGTGTGACTCCAGGCTTGGAGGGTTTGCCCTGTGTTGATTGGCCAATTGGTTATTTTGGCCCATAGGCCCTCCCAGGGTGGTTGCTATGCTCTGTGCGTCATTGCTGTGCACTTGTCCGTAAAGCACACCCAGAGCCGTAAAGCATAGTGCTGCCAGCTAACTTCTGATTGGTTCCTTGTCATGAGGCAGGCATCTGACTTCTAGTGACCAGGGCAAGGTCATGGCAAGCATGTGTTACTGTCATGGCTGGCGAAATGGAGAGCTGGTCCCTTCATTAGTAACTCCCCTTCCTTTAGACCTCAGAAGCTAGAGCAATGACCTACACTCATGTGACCCACTGTTCTTTTGACTGTACATTCCTAATCTGTATTGTTTTGCTTTAAATAAAGTTTCCCTGCTATTTTACAATCTGTGTGAGCCTTTCCTTTCTTTTTGGGTTTGTTTGTTTTGTTTGTCAAGACAGAATTTCTCTAACAGCTCTGGCTGTCCTGGAACTCTCCTTGGAGCCCAGACTGGCCTCAAACTCACAGAGATCTGCCTGCCTCTGCTTCCAAGGGCTGGGATTAAAGGCATGTGCCACCGCCACCAGTGAAGGGGCAAGCCCCCCTTTTTGGCAGCCATGACAGGCTAACATGTGCTCATCTGAACTTGCTGGGTCTGTCCTGGTCACTTGGAGGTCAGAAGCCCTGGGCTATGCTTTACATCTCTGGGTGTGCTTTACTACAAGTGCACAATACTGACTTATAGAGCATAGCAACTGCCCTGGGAGGGACTATGGGCCATAGCAACCAGTTGACCAATCAACACAGGACAGGGCATCCAAGCCTGGAAGCACACCAATCCTGAGACTGTGCGTACCCCTAGACACCCCTCTTACGATGCCCTGTAAGATCCCTGCCTTGTGGTTTCTTGGGGTCCTTCTCCAACCATCTGCCTCAGTGGATGGATGAAAGGCCTGAGCTAATGGGGTTAGCTCGTTAAACAACTGAAATAAAAGACTCTTTGCTTTTGCATCTAAATGGGCCTCTTGGTGATTTGGGGGTTCAGAATTTGGGCACAACACCAGCATCTTTTGATTCTTTTTGTTTGGTTGGTTGGTTTGATTTCTCAGTAGCTTTGGAGCCTGTCCAGGAACTCGAGCTGTAAATCAGGCTGGTCTTGAACTCACAGAGATCCACCTGCCTCTGCCTCCCAAGTGCTGGCATTAAAGGCGTGTGCCATCACAGACTGGTGATTCTTTTTTTTTTAATATTTTTTTATTTAAATTAAAAAGCATCTTATTTTACATACCAATCACAGTTTTCTCTCCCTCCTGTCCTTCTACTCCTCCTCTACCCACCCTCCCTTATTTTTAATTCGTTAACAGGCTTAGAATCTAAATGTCCAGACCCGAACCTCCAGTAGCAAACACTAGGATATGGCCAAACAAGGAACAGCTCAACAGAAAAACCAAAAAATGCTATCAGATTGGTCCTTGAAGGTTTCTTGGCATGCTTTTTTTTTTTTTTTTTTTCAAGACAGAATTTATCTGTAGCTTTGGAGGCTACCCTGGAACTTGCTCAGTAGACCAGGTTGGCCTTGAACTCACAGATATCCACCTGTCTCTGCCTCTCAAGTGCTGGAATTTAATGCGTGTGCCACCACCGCCCAGCATAGATGGTTATTTTTGTATGGCTTGTTTTGAGAATGTTTGGAAACCGGATGGGAGAAGATGAGATGAGGAAGATGTCTACAGCCAAGAAAAACGAGAATTCTCATAGAGGATGGGTGAGGAGATTGGGTCATGTGTTGACATGACAGCAATTTGGGAAGTAGAGAAAGGAGCAAAGGAGACAGTCATGAAAAGGACAAATGCCCACCACTTGAGAGAAAGGTGAGCTTCAGCCCAAGACAGCAGGAGCACTGAAGACTAC